CCATTTTCATTCCTTTCCTGACTTCTGTCTCTATCCTTTCCTCTTTTTCCCTCTCTCATTACTCTCTCAGTCTGTCCATCTCCTGTATCTGCCTGTGCAGAAGATATTCTCATTTGCCGGATTGTCTAGACAGCTTGAAATCCAAACACATCACAAAGAAATACTACACATCAAACAAAATAACAGCTACATGTCTTTCCACTGGGTTTCATAATTTCGTCTGACACACATAATATCAACAGCTGCTAATTGAAATGCCCTTAGGAAAAAAATTAAACATTAAATTGGGCTGGGAACTGTAGCAGGGAAATAGTCAAAGATAAAGCTTTTCTCACTTGAAATTGTTAACCCAGATCCTAAACATAACTCTGGGATATCTTGTTTTACATTGTTCATATTTAACACTATAGTTAGTAATCACTGTTTAGTTTATGATTAGCTATTTGTTGCTAAACAACTCACTATAACTCACCTTTGGCATCACAATTTGTGGTGTTTGGATCAGTGCTAAGTGATCCTACCCTTGCTCTGGTGCAGGTTTTTAAAAGCTAAAGCTCTTTCGAAGCCACCGCTTTACCCACACTGTAAAAAATTCCTGTAAATTTACAAGGAAATTTAACAGTAAAATGCTTTTTTCATGTAATAACAGTAAGTTACTGTTTTTTGCAATGCATTGTGGGACAAAGTTGACCAGCACCAGTATGACACTGTTATTTAACAGCATAATACCATATTTTCCCTTGTACACGTGCGTATAGGAAGACATTTTGGTTGATCTGCATGAGGTCATTTTGCAGCTCTGTCTTTTATTGCACATGCACATATTTCTGCCTCATCATTTGACCAAAATCCACATTGGATCGCAGACAGAAGTTATTACAAACACTCAGTAGTGATTGATAGTGACATTCAAGTAGAAGTATTGTATTAATCTCATTAATTGTCAAGTGTAGCTTGAAGCTTTCATTATGTATTTTATCAAATCACATACGTTTGTAAGAAACTGCCAAAAAAAGAGAGATTTTTAATTATATAATGTACCATATGCTGATCAGAGGGATGTGGGTGGGATGTAATGCCAGAGTAAAGTAAAGCCACAACTTACACAACAGTGTTTAGATCATCTTTTTTTCCTGACAAAATCAATATAATGCAATATTTCTATCTGCTGAATGTGAGCTTTTCCGTATTCCAAGCTTGCCTGCTGCACTGGGGACATCACATGGCACGAGTCGTGAAATTCTGAAAATAAATCTAGGAATTATTTGATTGTTATTTTAAATCAGTGGGGTTGAGGAATCAAAAGTAACTAAGTAACTAAGCTGTTTTATGGATGGTAACTGTAATATAATTCCTGAAATCTTATTAGTAATTAGTTACACTACTAGTTACTCCAAAAAGTAATATTATTACAGTAACTAAGTTACTAGTAACTAGTTACTGACCAGCACTGGTCATATCACACACAAACTGGCAAGAAACTCTTTTTTTTTTCTCTAACCCGCACATCCTAATCTTTATCTGAGTAAAAAAATTACTGTGGAGTGATCTTTTTTATCTTGTGTGGTTACAAATTTAGCGTGAGGTTCAAACCGTCCATTATCTGCTTGCTGTATATTTGCAACCACGCATTTGGTTTTATCTGTAAGTTACCGAGTACACTTCTAAATATTAACATACATTATAAAGAGCCAGCGAAGCATAATTTGATGACAGCATAGCGTGTTTTAATCATGGAGCAGTAACCGAGCAAGGCATGATAGCATTGTTAGCTCGTTAGCATATAAGGTTACTCAAACTGCATTTGATTTGTTATTTACTAACGTCACACAATTTATGCAATGGACACAAGTCCCAATCTTTATCTAAGCAAAAGATATGCGTGTATGAACAAAAATGTATAATTCTTGCTTGATTACTGTGAACGTGCATATTCAAACCGCTGCTAGCGATTGCAAAACTAGTGGCATGACAGATGGACAGGCGGAATCTGACGGTTTGATTTTATTTTTAAACTTTATTTAAATTTTTTTGTGGGGGATGTCTGTAATTAGTTAACTAGAGAAGCTATCTATTTTTTACATTATGTTTTCCTTGTCCTTGTAGCTCAACTACTGAAGACTGACTTTGTAGAGAAGCAAAGGACTCATTCTTTAAGAAAACGTAAGTTTGCCTATTGTTTGTTCAAGTAATCATTCACCTAAAAAAATGTTTCTCATCATTTACTCAACCTTATGCTGTCTCAAACTTGTAGGACTTTCTCTTGGAGGACAAATTAAGATATTGTTGTGGAGAAATTATGTCTGTTTTGACCATACAGTGGAAGACCAGTGGGAACCAAACATTCAAGCTCCAAAAGGAACATAAAGGTATGATTAATCACCAGTCATTTTGTCTGATATCAAAATATCAGACCAAAGGACCACAAATTAGAGACTGTTCCATATATCATATGGAACTGTTCCTTATTGTCTCTGTAGAATATTGGAACAAGTAGCACATTAAGGTGTTTTTTTGTTTTTTTTGCCATTTGCAGAGGCTTTCAGCCATCTTAAATTGTTTTCTTTACTAATAGATGTCTGCCACTCCTTCTGACCTTGAGAATATGGGTAACCTGCCTGTGACTCCTTGCCTGATCCTTCTTGGTAAGTATATCATATTAGATATGTCTGCATTTTGTTTCACTAAAACAAAGCTCACACTCCAGACTGACACTAGTTGCTATTATCAGGAAAGGATCCATCTTAACGTGCCTCATACTAGAATCCACTTATTATAATTGCAGCATGTATGACCTATGCAGTGTATTCCAAGTCTTCAGTTAATTACAGACTAGTTTTTTCGATTATCAAAATTATACACTTGAAAACGTTTAAAACTGAAACTTTTCTCTTCCTACTTTTCAGATACTTTATTGGAATAAATCCAGAAAAGAGGATCAAAGCTGCATTGAGAAAAGAAGTGTCTAAAATAATTGGAAAAACTGCAGAAGAAGACCCAAGATGATGCTGATGAAGACCATCAGTCCAGAAGTATCTCATCCTTAACTCAACCTTATGCTGTCTCAAACCAGTAGTACATTCTCTTGGAGGACAATTTAAGATATTGTCATAGAGAAATGTTTGGCCGTACAATGGAAGACAAATGGGGGCCAAACTTTGAGCTCCAAAAGGAACATAAAGGTATGATTACTCAATCAAAGACACCAGTCATTTGATCTGATATGAAAATATCAGACCAAAGGACCACAAATGAGAGACTGCAATGTACGGTGAAAAGTGTTTTCACCCAAACAAATTGAATCACTTCAGAAAACTGGCTAAACCACATGATTAATTACCTTTATCTTCAATTTACTGTATGTCTGTTGGTATTTGAAAGTTTGATTCCCATTTTCTTTTGCACTGTAGGGACAAACAGACATTTAATCTCCAGTAAAGTATCATCTATATTGGAGTTTAAATTGGCTAATGCTGATTTGTATTTTATAAACCATTTGTTTTGAAAATAACATTAGCTGGTGTTCACTGAAGCCTGATTTGAGAGTACATTTGTATTTTATGAGCAAATAAAGACTTTAAGTATGTTTGTATGTATGTATATACATGCCTGTTTTAGGGCATATTGTAAAAGTTTATCTATAGTGTTGTATCAGATTAAAAAACAAAACATAACTTGACTTTGTTCTCTTTTGTAATACACATAGTCAAATAGAAAATGCAGGGTATAATATGCATTTAAAATTGAGATCATGGAGTTATGAGTAGTATGTAATTTAACAGATATACGCTGCTACATTACGGTAGTATACTGTAGATGTCAAAATGGCATTTTACTGTTAATAAAAAAAAACAGTAGCACACTGTATTTTTACAGTATGATGCTGGCAACCACAGCTGCCAGTAGATTACCGTTTTTTTACAGGGAAATTTTTTACAGTGCAGGGTTAGACAATAAACCAGGTTGAATGGCAGTGTGTAGAGAATTATATTTAGAAATATGACAGTGACATCAACTGGTACATGCACTGCCACAGATTATAAATATAGACAATACAAAGGGATGCTATGCAATGCATTGTATTTGAATAAAATATACAAAATCTGCAGTGCTCAAAAAGTCAATGTAGACAAAAATAATGGCATAGTGTATTCAGATGCTCTGAATCCAGGTCACAGTGCCTGTGTGTGTGTCAGCTTTGGTGGGGAGGAAGGGGGGATTCCTCTCCAGAGGTCAGTGTTTCAGTGTGGGGTGTTCATCAGATAATTAAACCCGAAGGGAGTAAATACACACACATACACACACATTGTCATTTTCGCCCTCATAAAATGCTCTCATATTTTGTTCCCAAACGGCAGATGGAAGTGGAAGGCACAAGCTTGTTCTGAAAAGACTGCATTTAACATCCCTTTGATTTTTCGCCTCTGGCTTGACAACTGAAAATAGACATTACTTCAGAGCGGTTGAATGTATAGCGCTTTAAATCAAATCTAATATAGCTATCTTAATACACTATGTGTTCCCTCAACAGTTCTTTTGTTATCTTGATTACAAAATTATTCTGAGCTTATGTGTGTCTGCAGGTTCTTTTAGCTTTTGTTTCCTTGCTTTGCTTTACAGTAAATCACACCACATCACAATATCTCACAAATTACTAATACATTTTTTTTTTTTAATCATTTAGAATAATTTGGTTGGCATATGCGCACATTTAGGGTATATAAAATTCCATTAGCATACTAAATAAATATTCTGAATGTCAATTTCCATCACCATCATTTCCACCACAGAATGTTATTAAACATAATTTGAAATGTGTTGGAAATTCCACTGTGATAGAAATGGCAAAACTGGCTGTTATTTGGCTAATTAAACTAAACTACTGAGAGTGTGAAGAGTTAATTTTTTTAAATTTAAGTCTGTAAGGTCAAAAGTATGCAAATATGCATCCACAAATGTGTGGTTTATTCATGTTAGTGACCCCTGCATGATTTGCCCACCTTAACCACGTCCTCATCCGTCGAGCGACATTCCACCGACTCTGTCACATCGGTCACAGTACCTTCGGTTCCAACAGTGACCACCTTCACTGGCATGGCAACAGTTTTCCCGGTGAGCACTGCGGTGTTAAGGATCTCTGTCTCCTGCACACAGAGGGCAGATCAATCAGACTGCGTTAATTCAGGATAATTCACTCGCAATTATTCACGATAATTCGTCATTCTGTCAGCTCCAGCTCTTCAGCACCAACATTGAGTCGCACTATTAACCCAGTGAGTCATATCATTCAATTAGAGTCATCAGCTCTGGAGAGTCTCAGAGTGAGATGGAGAGGTCTGTTTAGAGCCAAACAACACATTCTGTTTTTATGAAACTGATCCACTCTCAGATAATCTATATTAACATGAAAAACACACACAAGAATAAGGTTCACTATCAAGTCACTACAAAAAGAAAAAAAAATTCACACATATTTGGAAGAAAATATGAACGCTTGCCCATGCAAAACTCTTCAGCATGACACTAGGGTATTGTGGGTATTCCATATTCCTAACCCTAAATATGGGCAAGAAATAGTGATGCTTGACTGAGGAAGCACCAGTAAATAAAGATAAAAATGATGCTTATAGCAAACATCAATACCACTGTGGGAATTTCCAGAAATATGCTTTACATAGAGAACAATGTCAGGGAAAAACACTGTAGGCACATCTTATTTTCACAGAAATATCCCGTAATTATGGAGAAATGACAGCTATGGTAACTGTTTCTGTGAATCCATTCTCTCTTTGCTTATAATCTTATCGGAAACATGTCCGTGTGTTCAATTTACAGTTCAAACAAACCAAAGGCTGTATAATTAGATCATTTAAGTCTGACCTGTGTTTTTCTTGCCGGCTGGGGCTATGGGTGAGGAGACTACACAAAACTGCCCTCATCATAAACCACGCAGCACTTTGAGATGGATAAACCTAAATAAAGAAACCCTCTGTGAAGGTTTTGTTCTTCATTATAGGGTCTTTTCTTCTCTTTATGTCACAGCTCTCGCCATTCTCCTTTAGAGAAAACAGATAACATTATTTAATCCTGAACTGTGGATAATGAAATTTCAAGCTTGTTAATGGACCTGAGGTCTTCTGTTCTTTTTTTTCTCCAGGCTGATCCCACTTCAGGCTTCACTTGGCAGCTGATTCTTATTTCAATCATTTTCACTTTAATGCACCACAATCGTAGGGATAAACGAGCCTCTTCCTGTCTTTCCCTTTATGCGTTTAAGCCGATCATTATTTTCTATCTAACACAGGCTGCGCTGTCTACTTCCGAGGTAGAATTTGAATACGCCATTTCCCTTGATTTCAACATTATGTAAATGTGCAATAGGAATGTAGTCTCAGCAGCAAGAGTTTGGTATTCAAACCTTATGCTCAGACATTTTGACAGGGAGTTATCGCCTGTGTTTGATTTGCTGTCAAAACATTAATTTATCAAGACCAGGAAAATGACTCTGATAAATATTCCACAGGATGGGATGGGTGAAGTGTTTACAATTCGCTCTCCCCCTTTCACTCACTTCCCGCTCAGATGAATTCAAAGAACCCAGCGACACTATTCGGCAGACAAGGTGCTTTCAAATGTCTTTCAATGTGTCCATTCACCGGCTGTTAAAAGCGAACAATGTAATTTTCAGTCAAGCCTGAAGATTACGCAGTGAATTAAAAACAGAATTCAAGAGTAAAACAGGCAAAGTGGTGGAAAGCCTCTCATTGTGATGCCACAGACTCTGATGGGTAGCTTTACTTCACGGTAAAAAAAAAAATTAAAAAATAGAGGTGAGTTCAGTTCAGCGAGGGAGTACAGTTTTAAACCACACAGGTCAAATCCATTGACCCTTGAGAAAGGCATACGTGCCTCCACCCTCTGACTCACATGGCAAAAGCACAAAAAAATGTAGTGGAACTTTCCTGCTCAGGATATATCAACAAAAATGTTTAATATTTGAAAATTATATCCGAAGATTCTAATGCTTTGGAAAAGGAGAAAAATAACTATTTATTCACCTTAAAAATGACGGGTATGTGAATGTTTGCACAGTTATGAAAGGATTCCAAAGTAATATAAGACGAGGCTTTCCAAATTCAGAAATACACAGAGTAAGAAGCCAATCAGTCACATAAAAGTCCCATAAATCTGTGCCACATTTTTCTCAGTTTTGAGGAGAAAATGTAATGTGTTAAAGGGATAGTTCACCCAAAAATGAAAATTCTGTCATTAATTACTCAGCCTCATGTCGTTCCAAAACTGTAACACCTACCGTAATTTTGCGAAGCTACGAGAATACCTTTTGTGCGCAAAGAAAACAAAAATAACGACTTTATTCAACAATTCTTCTCTTCAGCGTCGTCTGCTGCGATTCACGAGAGTACCACGACGCATGAAATTAGTCATTATTTTGTTTTCTTTGTGCACAAAAAGTATTCTCGTATCTTCGTAAAATTATGGTAAGACTACTGATGTCAGACAGACTATTTTAACGATGTCCTTAATACCATTCTGGGCCTTGACCGTGGTAGCATTGGGGTCTATGCAGGGTCAGAAAGCACTCGGATTTCATCAAACATATCTTAATTTGAGTTCCGAAGATGAATAAAGGTTTTACGGGTTTGTAACGACATGAGGGTGAGTAATTAATGACAGAATTCTCATTTTTGGGTGAACTATCCCTTTAAAACATGACCTAAACATGAAACTAAATAAAATCACAATAATTACATAAAATACATACATAAAATTAAAATAATAAATAAGTTGCATTAGCACATTAAAATGATTTCTGTAGCATCATGTGACATTGACTGGAGTAATATATGCTGAAAATATTATTTTAAAATATATTGAAATAGAAAACCCCTAATTGTAATAATATTTCACAATATTACAGTTTATTCTGTATTTTGATAAAATAATTGCAATTCGAGATTTTATGTATATTAGTGCTGTCAAACGATTAATCGTGATTAATCGCATCATACATGAATCAAATTCCTTGGTGTGTCTGTGCATTAGTGAGTTTTGAGATTGCAAGACTACATTAACATGCAGCACAATACAGAGTACAGTCTCTTCACGCATCTGGCTTGGCTTGGCTTGAAAATTAAGGAAGATTTACTCTGACAGCAGGACTGATGTGGGTGGCATGAGAACCAGCAGAACTAATATGCAACTAGTTTATGTCCACCTACACTCCCGGTCCTCCCCCTCACCTCAATCATGATGCTCCGGTTGTTGAAACCCACCATCCTTCTCCTTCCCCCAACCCCATCTCTGGAGCTCCTATGAGCCATGGTTCCAGAGGGAGGGTGTTGAATCCGAGCACAATGTGTTATTCATGCAGCTTCATCATCCGCTTCTGCCCGGTGGTCGGTAAACATCATTCCCTGGACTGCTGACTGATTAGTGTTAGCTATGCATGGATGCTGGGTTTGAAGAACAGGCTGTACGGCCTCCCAGAGACCATCTCTGCGGGAGGGCAGTGCTTCTACAACACGCACTTACCTTTAAGTGGCTCCACACTATCTTGAGAAAGAGTGAGAGAAAAGAGAAGGAGGTAAATCGATAAAAGGCCATTACACTTTTGGCAGAGTTGGTGGGGATTAAAGATATATCGGAGGTCGGGGAATGTAGGGTTAATATCAGCACAGGTGATTGGTTCAGTTCGTGGTGAACCTACACCAGCTCACATGGGGTCTAACGCTCAAGGACAGGCAGCACTGAATGCATCGGCACCCCGTGTGGATCCTTGCGGCCGATGCCGCAGACATGCTATTACAGAGCCATCGATCGGCGGCTGTATTTCTTTTCAAGACCGCAGGTCCTCCCATGTTTTCAGCAGCGATGGCTAAAGCCTTTTTGCCTCTCAGAGTCTTGCTGACAGAGCCTCTGATAAAATGGCACAACAGTGCAGACAAACAGGGAGCGAAGAGGAAGATGGCTATTGATTTCAGTAATAGTGCAGAGAGATGAAGGGAATGCTCAGCAGTCGTTGAACACATTACAGCCACTGGGTCAGCCAAGCGCCTCTCAGTGGCCGCTAGAATGAGGATAATCACAGTTTTGTTTTACTATTACCGCATCAACTGATAATCCAAGGCCTCTCCACCTCACTGCTTGGCTAAATGAGCACTCTTTCCAGGAATTATGAGCCCTGTTATGAACAGTGGATGAACCGGACATGAGCATAAACCTGGATTTCTCTGCTACCATTCCTTAAGTATTAAACTTTGATGCATTATTCATGACATTGCATAGATACGCTCATTTAGACAGTGTGATTTAGCAAAGTGGATATTGGATCAAGATCTTTTGTTAGTCCTGGAACAACATTCTTATCAAGCCATCACAGGCCAAACACAAGCTTAGATACCACCGAAATCTAGTAGAAATTATTCATAAGAATGCTGTTCAAGTCCTAACCCCAGCCCTAAGATCAGGATGACAGGAAGGTTGTTCGAGGAACATGTCCTTCTTGAATCATGGCAAGCACATTCAAACTCACATTCAAACTCAATCACACTACCTTTCCACTGCACCTACAAGACAATCTCTACTGCTTGGTATCTAGAGACCAACAGATGTTGTTTTTATGACCAGTAACAATTATTTGTATGTGTATGTTTAAACGTATGCAGAACTGATTGTTAATTATTGTTTAATTTTTGTTTCTAAGTTACATGGTATAATAAAAATTTGTCTAAAACAATAACCTGGAGGGTTACTTTATAAAAAAAAAAACATTAATAGTAATAATTATTATTATTATTATAAATTACATGACAACTACTTTTGATTATTTATTATTAATATTAATATTATTATTAATATTATGTATGTTTAAATGTATGCAGAACTGATTCTTTATTATTGTTTAATTTTTGTTTTTTAATTGCATAATACAATAAAAATTTGTCTACAACAATAACCTAGAGGGTTATAAATAAATAAATAAATGATCATCATCAAATTTTAATAATTTATAATATAAGAAAAAATGTAATTATATTTTTTTATAATTTATACTACTACTTTTATTTATTATTATTAATAATATTATATTCAATTTTCAATTATTTTTGTTTACCTTTAAGTA